TCCATGGCAAATGGTGAGATGTATAACCTTAATTTGGTTGCCTAAAAATTGGGATTAACAGTGCATTCTACCATATTTATCCAGAGGAGTGTGGATATAGAGGTATTGAGGTTAACCTGTATTATGATGTGCAACTGAGAATTCATACTTGTCTGGAAAGGTCTGATAAACCATTGCATTGTACCAGCTGGAGGCTATTCACTTGAGGAAGTGGGGATTCTTATGAGATAGAGCTCCTTCTTATAATGCAGAGCCAACCAGGAGCTTATCCAAGTTACACAACCTCAGTTCTTGAAGGAGTAATTCTGAATACCCCATGATGGGGATCTCTGGTTTCACCCCTTACCAGGTCCCCTCTCCCCTTTCCTGGGGAGAGTTCATTGTTTCATTAAAACTCTGTGAGACATTGGGCCTAAGCATCATTGCTGTGAGTCCCCTCTGAGAGAGTTAAAGGGGGAGAGGAGCTTTCTCCCCCAAACTACAATCCCTACAGAACATCTGCAATGGCTGTGCTTGCAGGGGGTAGACATGGTGGTGACCTGTGGCAGCAGCAGCAGTGTCCTGGAGAAAGCGATACCCACAGAGAGCAGATTATTAACTTTTTATGTGTTTTCTGTTTCATCTATTTAACAAGAAGGAGCTGTGCCTTCTATTTAATTTCCACAGAGACCTGCATACTGATGTTCATTAAATATTTTATTTCTTTTAAACCATTTTATTAATATTAAATAGATACAAAATAATCTCTATAACTTATGTGTAAGAATATCAATATAGCAAATAACCCAATAGCTCCAGTTTGAGAGTAGAACATTAGCATTATCTTTGAACTCACCTATGCATTCCTTGCGGATCGCATCTGTTGGCGTCCAGCCCCAGCAGGTCCAGGGGTTTCCAAAGGTGTGGACGGAGTCAGTGAAGAATAAATGACACGGAGGCAGCGTTCAGTTGATCATCATAGCTAGGTTCTCTTTTTATTGTCCTATTACATCTGTATTTATACCATTTGATCCTATAAGCATGCCTCTATAATCACATCATGGTATGTTTTGGGTAACCTTCTACAGTTCCTTGTTTCATTTCCATAGTTTCTTATTTGACCTTTACCAAAAATCCTGTCTCTATCTAGTTCTGTTGATTTTAATCTTGTCTAGGTTAATCTCTGTGTTCCATTATAAGGGCTATTCCAAGGTCGCTGCTCTACTGATAAGCTACAAG